GTCTGTCAAGCACTCCAGGAAGGCGGCTTTTGAGATGAGCAGCTCATCCATGGAAGAGATTCAGGGTAACCATGCCTGAACTCGGTTAAACAAGGGCACAGACATGAGGATGGTTTGGTTTTCTGGTGGTAAAAGAAGTCTCGGAGACGGACTGTGGAGTTAAATAATGGACTGTATTGACGGCGAAGATAGTACTGGCTGTAAACTAAGGAAGGATCTAGAACATAGAAGGCGCAATTGATAGACATCCACCCCATCATAACTTGATGTACTCCGTAAATTCCTGGAACTCTCCAAACAAACCCATCGGCCTCGTCTGGAACTTGGCCTCAAGCGTGCCCGGGCATGTCGGGCTGGCCACCACGCTATGATCGAACACCCGGAAGTCAAAGGGCAGCTCGCACAAATTGTAGACTCGCGACTGGTCATCGGGCAGAGGCAAACCAAACAGCCTCGACGCCTCGTCGGGCAATGCTCCATCCTCACCAAGAAACTGTTCTTCCAGCTCGATGATGCGCTTGGCCGTGAGGTATGCGTGATGCGCGTTCCATAAGCCTTCCCGTCGAGGTGCCAGACGGAGCAATTCCAAGGCACGTCTTCGTATTGATGAGTGGCGGCATTTCAGAGCGGCGTAGAACAGCGGTGCCAGAAGTTGAACGTCGAATGACAGGAGCTGCGGTGCTGCCTTCTCCTTGCCAGGCTTAATGACTTGTTCCGCATAGGTCACCAGCTCGTCAAAGTCTGACCGGTAAACATCGGTGTCCGTTTCCTGAGATGTAGTGCAGACTCGTGTCCAGATGTAGACAACCTTATAGTTCACCAAAAGGATGTTGACTGCGTCTGGGTTAGCCGGGTTACCGGCAGCCTGCAGCCGCTTCAACAGATCGTCGAATTGCGTGCGCCATGCTTCTAGTCTGGTTTGCAGCTTAGCTTGCTCAACAAGGTCATCGATACCCACAAGAAGGGTATCTGCCTTGGGGGTGACAGAGCTGATGAACCGAATGCAGGTGTCAGCAGTAGCGAATATCCGCCGCCTGGCGTCCTCAAAGTCTTTGTGGGGAGCGTCATCCTCGACTATATGCAGGTACACTGGCGGGGTGAACCTGCCAGCGAGACAGGAGAGGATGCCCAAGCGTGAGAACATCGGAAAGATGTGATCTTCAATCACTTTGAGATCGTTGCAAGGGGGCCTTGGCCCTGTCTCCGGTGTGGCGCCGCTGTTGGGTCGGAGGGGGGCGAGGATGTTGAACCCATTGTGGATGTGAAGCATTGATAAGTCGGCATCACCCCTGAGGAACTCGATGCACGTGAATAAAAGACAGCAGACCAAAGGCACCAGGTTGGAGTTTGGGTTCGTCTGAATTCGAGTTGAGAGGCTCTTGAGTGCGAGCTTCCATTCCCGCTGAGCCTCGGGGTTGGCCTTCACGAATCCTGATGGATGCCGTAGCGATGACTCAACATCGCGATAGACGGCACTAACTGCCGACACTGCATGTCGGATTGACGGCTCCGAGTGTGATAGTTGTGGTACAAGCTTTCTCCAAAACTCCGAGTCAAACTGTCCGTCAAGTATCGTGCCGATATTGGTGTGAAAGAAATCAAGGCCACTTGTGTTTTCGAAGAATGCCGGTTGACTTTTCGTAGGAGGCACATAAACGGTTATTACATGGTGGCGTGGTGGTCGTCCTGGACTTGTCGACTTGTACTCGCACGTCCGGCTTCCGACGGCGCATCGTCGACAAACGGGTTTCGCTTCATCGCATTTTATGCGGCGAGCCTTGCAGGTACTGCACCCGGTTCGGACTTTGGATGTGCTCTCCCGGGTTCTTTTTGACGGAGAAGCCGTGTCGAGGATCATGATGAGCAATTTGTTGCTTTATCGAGGAGCAACCCCGGGTTTCAAGAGATTAGTACGAGATATGAAAGACATCCGGCGACGGGAGGAATGAGCTTCAGCTAGCAAGAACTTGAAAATACGAGGTCAAATTTCGCTGCCCCTTGCGAGCCACTCAGCCACCACAGTCTACGAAAAGGCCAAAAGTTTGGGACTTTGGTGCTTACACGCATGGGGACAAGATGTCTAATAAGTACTGCGCCAAAAATGCTTACCTTACTAGCGCCCTTCCTTCAAAGGCGCAGCGTATCCACATGAAAGTGGCTGGCCTCGTAGTTTCGATATCTAACCAATGAACTAAGAGGAATGAATCTGTGCCGCCCGCAGGCTTTCTTCCAACGGCTGCCTAAGATTCAGGAGATGCGCGTTGATCTTACGTAAGACCGGCATTTAAGAGGTGATTTGGGCCGGGTCTGAAAAGATCTCGGTCCGGAGACCGGGTCCACATTCGCCGAGGACCCGTGAAGGGCCGGACCGCCGGAGCATACTCGTGATCAAGAAAGCTAGAAATGGCCGAGCGTTGTAAAATAAGGTAACAGTACGGACGAATTATGAGAACGCAAATTTGATAATTGAAGGACATTGTATAGTACGGATTCAACGGCCGTGAAATGAGCCAGTCAGAAGACCCAGAATTCTATCGATTATCAATGCAGGCTGCAGCCTAAAATCAACAGACTCCAGCAGCATCATAGGGTCTCGTGGAGGTTTGAATAGGCAGACGATACACTCATCAATGTCTCAAGACTGGCTTGGGTATCATCGAATTTGACTGAGGCTGGTCTCAGCATACATAGCTTTCTGGCTTCTTTTTATCGTTACTAATTTCAGCTTTGTCGCCATTCAAGAATGCCGAAGACTTCGGTCTAATCTACCACGAGATAATGCGAATAGCAGATTCATGATTACAGATGTGATGTGAGAACCAGACGATTTGTCTAGCCAGTCCCTGTTATGCCATACCATGTCGAAAGCATCTTTGTTGTCCTCGCGACGCGAGTCTCACGAAAACTCGCAATGTCTCATCGAATTTCTTCATAGTCGAGGTTTGTCATCTTTGACACGGGAAGTGGGCGATCTACACGTAGCATAAACTACTAGCTTCCGAGACGGGATGTGGGTACTTGTTCGAAACAGAAACGGACAGCTGTGACAGCAAAGCCCTGCCATTCTCGAGAGCTTGGCGGGGAAGAAGCATTGGCGTCCCGGATCAGGTCCATGCTCCTAAGATTTCAGAACAGCTGCATGTTTTCAGATTTAGTATGTCGCTGAAGATTGAGGAAAGTGTGCGCTTATACTTTATACTAGGTAGTATGCTTTGGTACCTGACTGCTACGAGTTGGACCGACACTCGACTCGATAACCTAACGAGTAAAGCTAAGCTGAGGCTAACATCATGTCTTACCATACACTGTGAGAGTAAAAGTCAACTGGAAACGGGCGCCGGTTCGGCGCGACCAGGCACGGCCTCGAGCTTTTTGGCTCCCGCCAGCCCCATGTATCCGCTAAACAGCCCTATCCCAGCCTCACATGCTCTGAAGACTCGAAAGGTTTCGGGCCATTTTGATCAGACTTTGCGGGGCAACCAATCGAGCGATCTCTTTTGCTAAACACACGAGAATCCAATCTTGTAGCACATTCCTAGAAGTGCCTTCCATTGGTCTTGAGACGTTCTAGAAGCTTTCACAATTAATTCGAGACTTCAGCTTCTAGGGATCTGTACTCACTATTGCGAACCATGTTACGGATTTTACTAAATTGGTACACTCATCGTCTCTTGTTCTTCCTACGTCAGATTGCGCGTTCGTGACGTCTACTCATCAAGGCGATGATCTTACAACCATAGGGGCAGTAAGACCAACTGTCGACTGACGCACGTCCAAATGCATAAATGTGGCACCTCACACAACACACAACACACTGTTGAGCCTCATCTTTTTTCGTCAGAACAAGCATAGGGCCCGCAGGTTCTGCCATCTTCTCATGCCATTGTGCCACTACACTGTGTAATGGGAACACTGTCTATAGGAACATGGGACGATTGAATCAAAGGCTGCGGTTTCACGGCCCATCCCATTTACCTACATGTATCTACGAGCCGCGCGAGAGTTGCAGGGTATTCCACTGCACATGACCATGGGTTTTTGTGGGGGGAGGCTCCCCAAGTCCAGAGCATTCTTACGACATCTGATGCCACCGGAAAATCCGTGAACGCAGAAAATACCGAAAGAGGTCGCGGAGACTCCCGTTTATGGGTGCTTTGGCATGAGCGCTATGCAGGTACCGCCATTTACAAACAACATTTGCTGTCATCCCATCAGATGTCTTGGAACGGATCCTGGTGAGACTCTCGTTTTACCGGGAGGTTGGCTCCAGGTTTTTGGCAATTCCGGGTCTCTTGGTAAGACCTTGTCAACGATTACTTGATATAAGGAGAGATTCATTTGTGACAGTTTTGAGATGATCGGAGGAAAACCACAGATGTCTGGATAAGATCGGAAATACCACATAGCACAAGGTACGTGGGGGCGCCTTACCGATGATCTGCACTAGTTTGCCGCGTGTAAAAATGCCCCGTCTTTGCTTCTGCAATTTCAGTCTCAACATTCCCATCTACTATCTTCCTCATTCGAAGACAAATACGCGACCCAAACCCTCAATGAAAAGACCAAATACTGATATCGGGACAATTTAGCTTCTACACGGCCGGTCCGGGTTCTTCCTCCCAACATCTCAATGCTTTTTCATACTTTTTCCTCGCTCGTTTAATTCCTTTCTCCCTGCTGACTTTCGGACAGGGCGAAAATACCGTCCGTGTCTTTACCATTGACTTTCTCTTTACCCGTTTTCGAGGCGACTGTTTCAAACCCCTTTCTTATCCACGTTAACCTTTATACTTCCCCCCCTAATCTAAACTCAAAAAATCATGAACGACGACAAAAATGATGGGCTTCTCGTCCCAATCGACTTCAACAATGTGAGCGGCGGTAGACGCGAATCGAGGATCGACAAGTACGCCAAGCGCAGCTCGCAGATGTTCATCCCGTTCAGCGTTGTGGACTTTCGGCATTCACAGGCGTTGACCCCGGCATCACCGCGCTACCCGATGCAGGCTTTGCAGGAAGGCGGACGCAGACTCGCGAGGATTGAATCTATTGATACTATCACGGCTGAGAAGCAGGAGGCTGCTGTTCACGAGGAAGAAGTACTTGGGAGTACTGAGATCTATGATAAGGATGGCAACATTCGGCTTGTACCCGTGAGTGAAGCACTCCTGATGGACCCGAAGTCATCACCGAGACTGACTGTTGCCCTGAAGACTCCTACTCCTGACCCTAAGGACCCGCTGAATCTGCCTGAATGGCGCAAGTGGCTTGCTGTCGCTTCCTTATGCTTCTGTAAGCTACTTCCGACCAACTTGGACGGGGGTTATCTCTCTAACAAAGCGCAGTCGGCTCCGTCTCACTTGCTGCCGAAATCGCTGTTGCTGGCCTCTTACCCGTGTTCATTCTTGAGTACTCTGGAGTCGATCCCGCCTCAACTCTCAAACATGCCGACCTCAAGGGCAACCCGGATCCTCTGGGCGTTGTGCCACCCGGCGTTACTCCTGTCTCTCTGACGTCTGTCTCTCTTTTGGCAACCATACCCATGCTCAGCAACGGTGTTGCAACGTATCTCTTGGTCCCTCTTACGGCTGCTATTGGAAGGCGTCCTGTGCTCATCCTTACATCGGCTTTCTCGTGGGGCGGCGGTTTCTGGGCCGGATACAGCAAGTCACTCACTAGTCATATTGCTGCTCGAGTCTTCCATGGGCTAGGATCTGGTGCTGTTGAGGCCTTGCTTCCCTTGATTGTTCAGGACATGATGTTTTTGCACAAGAGGAACAAAGCTGTGGCGTCCATCGTTGCCAGTCAGGTAAGTTTATACCGAGGGATGCGTCAAACCATCACTTCCTGTCGCGACTCTCAGCAGGTGACTAACGTATTGATGTTCACGTAGGGCCCAATGATTATGCTCTTCGGGATTCTGGGTCCATACATAGCCGTTAACTGGGACTGGCGCTGGATCTACTGGATCACCTCTGCCGTTGGTGTTCTTACCTGGATTATGCTCATCTTATTCGTCCCCGAAACCCTCAGACAGAGATCCAAAGCAGAGCTTGCCGGACACCAGCTTTGGCCCATAACTGCCGGCGAGGACCGCACTCAGCTAGATTACGCCACGTACGGTGCACGAACGAGATGGGATGATCTTGGTTTCTTCCAGAGCGGGACTCACTGGAAAGATGCCGGCCTCCAAATCATTGCCACTCTGAAGACGACCATGTTCCCTGCCGTCTTATGGTGTACCCTGTTGCAGGTTGCTTTTGGGATGGTTATGGGTGCTACTGGGCAGGCGACTTCATTCGCTCTACTAGCTGCTGGGTAAGCATCCGGCCACCAGCTTGGTCAACTGATCCCTATTGGCAACAGAATGCTAATCGATTCCTGTGAACGAACAGTATTCCCTTCGAACTGACTGGGCTTTCGCAAATCCCGCAAATCTTGTCAACTATCGTCGTATTCGTTGTCGGTGGGCCAGTCGCCGACTCCGTATCGCTTTGGATCTCAAAGAAGAAAGGCGGCCGTGAAGCCGAGCATCAGCTCCCCAATCTCATCTTGCCCATCTTCTTCGCCATCACTGGTGCTCTAGTCTTTGGCTATGCCGACCAGAATCATCTCCACTACGCCGTCTTACTTCTCGGAACCTTCTTTCTCATGACATCTACCTTAATCACAGCGCCAATCGTGCAGAACTATGTCATTGAGAGTTACCCCCAGTGGGCTGGTCCCGTGTTGGTTAATGTCTCCACCTTGCGTGTTTTCATATCCTTTCCTCTCAATACACAAGTAACAACTTGGCTTCAAGAATTGGGTGAGTCTTTAAATGCCTCAGGCTTTGTCGTTGGCGAACTTCTTTGCTAACAACATTTTCAAATAGGACCTATGAAGTTCACAGTCTATTTATCCATCATGCTCTTGGTTGTATCTACCGGCATCCCTCTTCTTTTCATTTTTGGCAAAAAGCTGCGCATCAAGACATCGGATAAAGTTGCAAAGAGGCAGTAGAATATTTGATATTGGGCACTCGGGCTAGGAAAAGAGTTCTCTGGGAGACCTAGAGCGAAAGATTTCGGTTGGGAATCATCGGGAGGATGGCATCTACCCTATTCATGTATCAAGGTGCTGAGTCGAGGTTGAAAAGCTAATGATGAACGGTAAGAAGAATGATTTGTATAACTTTAGTTCACAAAACGGCGCGAGAGCGTTTGTTGCTGAAACATAATGAGTAGAAAAAGAATCGGCATAATACATCTAGCATGCTTTTGGCCACCAGTTTCTTTCTTTCGGAGGGTTGATGTCAATCTTGTTTCCATCTTCCTTTCCACGAACCACAGACCATAAGTTACAAGCAAAGCCCTCATTCTAAGGTCCAGAAGGCAAAGATGCATATGGCTACAAATTGCACTGCCTCCAGATGAGGCCAAAATCAACATCAAGCTAAATTTGCAATATCCGGGGTAGCATTGAACCAGAGCGCTAAGTAAGCACGCACCATTCAATTCGCCAGAGTTCAGCAAATGACGGTAGTCCCAGACTGCCGTGAGATTCAAAAATAGCCTAACAGTGAAAACACGAAGCGACTACCCAGATCAGGCTAGGTAACCTGAGCTGAAATCGGCCGAAGCAACGTTTCTAACGGCACAGCAATAAGCTTGATCGAAATTTGGGGACCTTTGTCTGTTGTCAATGCTTCTCGTGAGAGTATGAATAGGCAGCTTCTTCGTGCTTTTTGAGACTCAGTCTCTTCCTCTCAGGATCTCGGGCTTCATCTCATCACATAATTGCTCGCTATTGTCACTCGCTATTCAGCACTGTCACTCGTTTAGTAACCAACTCTGTCACCATGTCACGATTATTTACTACCCTGGTAGTGGCCGGGATTGGTGCCAACCTGGCCATGGGAATGCCGTATGATCAGGAAGAGCAAAACCGGAACGCTGACTGCGATGTAAGTGTAGAGCTCAGCTGAAGTTTTGTCTAGCAATTAATCGAGTACTGACGTTGCTGTAACGCAGAATGGTTGCTTCTTCGGCAGCTTTCCAGGGGGCTCCTGCACAAATGATGCTGCATGCATGTGCACCCAGCAAAAGTATCGTGAGAGATATTTCTGCTGCATGGCCCAAAAGTGCGCCGCATCTGTCTTGCCCGGTAAACATTCTCAATTGGTTTAAAGCTGAATTATGACTAACGAAAATGTTGCCTAGATTCTATACAACGACAGACTCTAGAGTGCGAGGCTCGGAATATGCCCTTCACATTCGACATTGAGGCGGTATGTGGCATCAAATTGACGACCTCCACGTCTGCTGCCCCCGCCGTCACAGTGACTGTTACTGCTGTGGCGGGAACCCAGTCCTCCATGCCATCAGCATCCAACGGCTCATCCGCCGTGTTGACTAGCACGTTGGCTTCAACGCCTGTAATCGCACCCACATTGAGTGCAGGCGTGAACACACCCACTGCTACACCGAGCACCGGATCTGCGGATCAATTGTTGGCGCGGGGCTCTATTGTGCTGGCAGTAGCCGGCTGGATGCTCTGGTAAACGAGCTATCGAGAAGAGGAACAATCACGATACGCCTTTCAGTCACCACCTTTCGCGACGCCAGACATGGCACGCTTACACACATGCAATTAATATTGAAGATTTAATGGTGATGATAGCAACGCATAACGTAGTCAAATGCCTAAGACCCCTTTCCTCAAAGCCATAATTGATTACCCCGGAAACTCTATCCGCAAATCTGGTCAACTCGGCAAGCGATTCAGCGAACGGCCGATGGGATGCTAGGCTTCCACACGCTCACTGGTGGAGACGAGAAAGTCCGCCCAATCACTTCCCCAATGCCCTGGAACAGTGGGTTGCTGTCCCCTGCGAGCCGTAATTTTAGGTGGTGTTTGTGCCATCCCGCCGGTTTTCACGAGGGGCATTTCATTTCAGTAGCGTCCACTTGACAAAGCTTGCATTTGACCATGAAGCGGGGAAGATGGAGGGGGTTGGTTGGCTTTCGGGGGTGAGGATGGTGCTTTATAAGTCTACTGGAGTAATATTTTTCATATTGACGTTGCACTCTGGGAGGTTTTCGGTTTTCTATTTCCTGGCAGCGAGTGATCGGCGAGTAGCTGTGACGATGGTTTCGAAGGCTTATCTGCTCGGCTGGGCAGCAGCGGTTGCGATCGCCTCCCCAGCTGCTGTTGAAACTCCCTTCAGTTGGAAGAATACGGAACACGTGTGAGTTCTAAGGATCGACGAAGATGTCCACATGCCATTCACTGACGGAGCAAATTGAGGGGGACAGACTCACATTTGGTGACTCCTACACATTCGTCCAAGGAACCGAAGGTCGCTGGGCATACAGCTTCATCGGATCTCAGCTGAACATCTCCTTCACGCCCGAGCAACTCCTCGGCGACCGCATCGTTCCGGGCCAGAACACATCTTCTGCTGGCGGGCCGAACTGGGTTCAAGAACTCACTGGCTGCAAGGAGGGCCGCCCCCGGGACTGCGAGAAGCAGCTATGGGGATTTGCATACGCCGGAGCTGATATCTCGACTACCTTGTGAGAGAATCGCCAACTAATCCAATCCAAAGGACACGAGAGAAAACTAACAATAGGCCAGCGTCTCTTTGCACTGGAACCACACCATCTCGTATGAGAAACAGGTTGAACAATGGGATACCTACGGCAAGTCGGTCATCAACGCCGATCCCGCAAAGTCGCTCGTTGCCTCCTACATTGGAATTAATGACATCAACGACATGGCCAACTTCCAACTCCCGGTCAATGGACTGAGTAGCTGGGAGGAGCTGTACACTGCAGTCATCGCCGAGCAGTTTGCAGCGTTAGAAACAGTTTACAAAGCTGGCCATCGCAATTTTCTGTTCTTGAACTTACCTCCGCTCGACAAAAACGTACGTCACAGTCATCTCAGTCACTTGGGCAAATATTTGTGACGAGCTCACTGACCATGAACGCAGCCTGCATCGCAGCTCAACCCAGCCCGTCTGCCAAGCACAGATATGATCAAGACATTCAACAGCGTAGTCAACCAGACAACAAAGGCGTTCTCGGAAAAGCATGCCGATGCGACTGTGTTAGTCTTTGACACGTACAGCTGGCTTACAGAGGTCTTTGAAAACGCGGCGTCTTATGGATTCACCAACACGACCTCGTTCTGCCCCAGCTACAAGGCCTGGGATATCGATACCAACTATGCTGCGTACGGGTGTCAGCCGATTTATGAGTACTTTTGGTATAACTCGGGGCATATTACGTATCATGTCCATGAGCTCCTGGCGCAAAAGGTCAACGAGTTTCTGGTTCAGAAGAGCGCTAGTGGATGTGGTGGGAAGAACCAGACACTGAGCGCGTGGGGAACGAGATGGGTTGGCGGGGAGTCAACTTAAGTCAAGCAGAGGACTTCGAATCGTGTCGTCGATGATGATGGATCAACTTTGTCAATCATTGGCATTCGTCGGGGTCTATGGACTTTGCTGAAGAGTCGTTGGCGAAATCTCGATCTGGAGCCTATCTCCCCGTGATTAGGCAAAATCTAATCAAACCTTGCCGGTCCCAGTTCAAAAAGGGTAACGTGACCGAAGAAAGAGTGTCTGAAGTTTCACGACCTGGTTCGCGCATAGCAGCCATGAATATCAAAGACAACGTACAAGAAAAGTGCAATTTCTCCTTCGATTTGCATCCGAGATTGCATTATACAGGCTGTCGTATCCTGCAACTTCCGCACAAGTTCTAATCAAGCTGTGCCAAGATAAACGTCGAAGTCCTAGATTCCAGCAAGTAAGGATTGATTTGGTCCAACAAGATCGTGAACATAAGTAACACTGACATCAACTCTGCAAGATTTCAAATGTCAGCATTAACCATTTACAGCTAGATTCCTGTCATGCTCGAAGATAATTGCTCCGTGCCGCTGGGTGCCGCGAAGCCGATCAGGTCTAAACGCCGGCCGAGATAGGAAGGTCCAAGTTCTTGTCGAATCAGGAGCTTTGGATAGAGCTTTATCTGAGTTTTTGACCCCACTCTGACTTCGTTCTCCCGATCCTTCAGGACGTGTGCAACGCGTCACGTCATGCGAAAGAAGCTGATTAGGAACGCTTTCTTTTAATAAATACACTCTCATAGTTACCCATCGCATCGAAGGAGAGTGTCTGATGGGTTGTTCTTGTTAGTCGTGTTGATGAAGATGTTTTCCTCGGCCTCATTCGCGCTTGTAGGGCTCGTCGGGCTCGCGGCCGCGCAGTTCCCACCCACCCCCGAAGGGGTCAGGGTCCTCAAGTCCAAATTCCACGAAAATGTCACTATTTCGTACAAAGAGGTGAGTGTGCATTCTTTTCAGTTATTGTAGAGCTCCATGGCTGATTGTTTCTTGCCCGACAGCCTGGTATCTGTGAGACCACGCCGGGAGTCAAGTCTTACGCCGGATACGTGCAGCTACCTTCGGGAACTCTGAATGACGTCGACGGGGAAGCTCAAGACTACCCAATCAACACGTAGCAAACCTCTCCCAACGTATTTTGTCATCAATTGGAATTGACACTGGTCCTTACAGATTTTTCTGGTTCTTCGAGGCGCGCAAAGCTCCCGAAAATGCCCCGTTGGCGATCTGGCTCAATGGCGGACCGGGAGGCTCCTCGATCATGGGCCTCCTTGAAGAGAATGGGCCCTGCTTCGTCAACGAAGACTCCAAGACAACTCGTCTGAACCCATGGAGCTGGAACAACGAAGTCAACCTCCTCTACATCGACCAACCGACTCAGGTGGGCTTCTCCTACGACATTCCAACCAACATCACCATCCACGCCGCCGCCGACGACTACGAGAACGGGCCATGGGGCATGTTTCCCGCCGACTTCAGCGACGGTGTCCCCGAGGGTAACTACACCTACCGTTACGGCACTGCATCAAGCCAGAAGCTTTCGCAGACATCAAACACCACTGCGCATGCTGCCCACGCTCTCTGGCACTTTGCGCAGACTTGGTTCTTCGAGTTCCCTGGCTACAAACCCGTCGATGACCGAATTAGCCTGTGGGCCGAGTCGTATGGAGGACACTACGCGCCTGGGATCTTCCGCCACTTCCAGACGCAGAACGAGTTGATTCAAAATGGCTCTTCGCCCGAGGAAAATGCCCAGTACATCCACCTTGACACGCTTGGAATCGTCAATGGTCTGATTGATCTGTCGATCCAAGGCGAGGCTTGGATCACCTACCCGTACAACAATGTGAGTAATGCACTGAGCCTGGGCATTTATACGTGATGCGATGTGGAATAGTTCTGATTGTCCGTACAGACCTATGGAATCCAAGTTTACAACGAGTCCATCTACGATGCATTGATGTACAACTGGACCCGCCCGAACGGCTGCAAGGAGCAAATCCTCAATTGCCAGGAAGCTCTTAAGGATCATGGACCGCTCATCGCAAACGGCGTGAAGAAGAATTACACCGAAGTCTGTGGCGACTTCCTCACCGAATGCGGCTTCAACGCCGCCGAAATCTACCAGAGCCTGCCCGACGGAAGAGGGTGGTACGATATCGGACACGGGAAACACGACCCCTTCCCGGCCCCGCACTTGTACGGTTATCTCACCGAAGGCGAGGTTTTGTCGTCGCTTGGCGTGCCCGTGAATTACTCGGAATCATCGGGGGCAGTGGGCATCAGCTTTCAACACACTTTCGGTACAATGGCTCCGTTCCCATTGGCTAGAACTTCGTGCTTTCAGATGAACATTATACTGATCGACTGTTATAGACATGATCCTGGGTGGATTCGGAGAGTCAATCGGATACCTGCTCGATAGCGGTGTTAAAGTTCACATGATGTGTGAGTCTCGATGTCTCCCATTTTTTTGACGACTGCGTGTTGTCCCTAACGCTATTGCATGCAGATGGAGATCGCGACTACGCCTGCAACTGGGTCGGCGGCGAGAAGGCAAGCTTGGCGATCCCCTACAACCGATCGATAGACTTTGCCAACGCCGGGTACACCCCACTCATCACCCCCGACGGCGTGACGGGCATGACGCGCCAGTTTGGCAACTACAGCTTTTCGCGCGTCTACCAAGCCGGCCACGAGGTGCCGTCCTACCAGCCGGTGACGGCGTACGAGATCTTCATGCGGGCGACGTTTAATCGGGACATCGCGACGGGACTCATCCCCGTCACGGACGAGCTGTCGACGATCGGCGTCAAGGATACGTGGCACATCAAGAACATCCCGCCCCGGGAGCCGGACCCGATTTGCTATGTTCTCAAGCCCGAGACGTGTCCCGAGGATGTGTGGAAGACGGTGGAGGATGGGACTGCGTTGGTGAGGGATTACTACGTGATTGACGTCCCTGGACAGGATGAGGCCCAGCAGATCTCCGAGGAGCTGTGAAGGAAAAAGGCAAGGGACAATAACTTGCTCAATAGACTACTTGCATACTGAGGTAGTTAGCGCTATTCATGGTTCGAGGCAGGCCGCAAGCTCAACGATTCGGGGCCAAACAAGTCGTGACCGTCGGGACAAGTGTGTTTCAGTGATTGGACGCATGAGGGGAACTCGTCAGGAAACATGCAGCGCTGGTAGCTGCCCTATGCCCTAGCGCCGGTGTCTACTATATTATAGTTGCGGTCCGACGGGGTTTAGCTGCCTCCATCTGCTCAAGCTTCAGTAAACTAAGGTTCTCCTCATCTTTTTCGCGCGCATTTCGAGGGTTACCAGGGTCAATGTGCGGCGCGCCCGTGGCTCTGGGTGCGTGACGTGCCGTGTGTGTTCCGGAAAGACAGTGAACCTGAGTCGTCTGAACAAGAAAGTCAAAAAGAGACTCGGCGAGACAGACGATCCGCCAGCTGGCGGCCATTTCGTCCGATCCGAAGACGTGGATGGCCCTGGCGGGACGTTGTTGCGCCGGCGGCAAGACAGCACGAGCCCCCCGGGAGGCGCAGCGCCGAGCGAGGGCTGAGCAGGGGGGAAACGCGGCCGCGTTTTTTCAGACGGACGGGGGATTGGGTCTTGACTGGAGACAGTAAGAGACGAGTCTGCATGGCGGTCATCGCGCGGGTAACGGGGCAGCGGGTGAGACCGGGGTCGTTTTTCTAGAGAGCTCTTGGTATGTGCCAATGTAGTAATGCACGACTTGTACGACCCCTTTCACATGCTAGTTTTGAAGACGGAGACGAAGGGCCTCTCATCTCAAAAGAAGCAGCGTTCCCAACCCCTCCCTTGACAGTAGTGATCTCGAGTGTGTTCTGTTCCTTGCTGCTATATGTTGATCTATCCAGCCTTTTATTGTTTTTGTTACTCGACCCCACTGATTTGCTGAAGCTTTTTGGACGTGCCCAGTGTCGACTGAAACGGCGCTGAAACAACTGCTCCTGACAGAGTCGAGACATTTGGCCATTTACATAGGCCTCCAGCCATTCGATATCCTATTAATCAAAATAACAACAACAACGAGCTATCATCTAGAAGCAAAACTACTTCCAGGAGGCGATTCATAGACGGAGGCCACATATACACACAGCAAAGATGGATACAAAATCATTCTCATCACGGATCAGCGATCTTGTTAAGGTATACAGCAACGCATTCCAGAACCGCTGCTTGCCCCATCAGCAGGGACCCAGCACATGATTCAAGCACTCCCAAAAAGAACCAAACCCGCTAACAGGGAACCGCTCTAGTTCCTCTCCTCCGTCCAAGGAGACCTCTCAAATGTCACCGCACCGCCCTCCTTCTTGGCGCCGTCATCAGTGGTTGAGGTCGGCCACTGCTGGTGCCAGCGGCCCGGCGTCTTCGTCGCCCCGGCACTGGAATCGGACCCGGAGAAGCGCAGCTTGAAGGTGCTACGCATGATCCTCATCGCCATGCGCAGCCAGTTCTACGTAGCCGGCGCGCCAAACGTCAGCATCAAGAAGCCCCTCAACGCGTTCCTGGGCGAGTTGTTCCTCGCGTCATGGACAGACTCGGATAGGAAGGCGAGGACGGAGCTCGTGGCTGAGCAGGTCAGCCATCACCCGCCCATCACGGCCATGCACATGGGCAGCAAAGAGCACGGCATCCGCGCCGACGGGTATGCGCGGGTGGAGATGACGTTTTCGAGCACTGTGAATATTCGACAGATTGGGCACGCCGTCATTCACATTGACCGATATAATGAGGACTACTTGATTCCGTTGCCGGAGGTCAAGGTTCGGGGATTCCTCAACGCGTGTCTTTACCCAGAGGTGTTGGGAACGTACTACATCGTTTCCAATACGGGCTACATCTCAGAGATCAAGTTCTCCGGAAGCGGATTCCTTAGAGGCAAGAAGAACTCATTCGAGGCGCGGATGTACCACAAGAACGACAAGAAGAACACAATCTACGAGCTTCAAGGATGCTGGAGCGAAGGCTGGACAGTCAAGGATGGAAGGACAGGAGAAATACTCGAAAAATACGAGGTCGACTCTCTGGAGAATCTACCAGCACCGATGGAAATGGAGCCGATTGCGACCCAAGATCCCTGGGAATCGAGGCGCGCATGGAACGGTGTCATTCAAGGACTCGGCAAGAACGATTTCCGCGAGACGGTCAGCGCAAAGAGCCAGGTTGAGGAGGCGCAGCGGCGGATGAGGGCAGAAGAGAAGAAGAAGGGCGAGACATGGGAGCCGTTGTTCTTCAAGAGTATTCCTGGGGAGGAGCATGAGGTTTTCCACCGTCTGGCAAAGGGTGTTAATTGGGAGTTACACGACAAGCATACTAAAGGCGTTTGGAAAATTGATGATTCAAAGAGAGACTCGGTGCAACGGCCATTTAGGGGGGAGTCAACTCCACTGGGTTAAAGAAATTCGGTCTATAATTAAATTTGATGCATCATGACTATGCCCTTCTCAAGCTCAGCACTGTTGTTTCTCGGAAATCAATGATTCTTCGGCGATGAGGTGAAATCTGCTTGTTATCTATATTACATGCAAACGTGCTACGTAATCTAGACAGCTTAACAACATGAAGTCATACGAGTTGTTCCGTGTAGCCAATGGTGTAGTCATACTGGGACAGACAGGACTTTGGCATATCTAGTCTAATCTGAGTCTGGGGGCGACTTCGGCCATGTATCCTAGCCTACCACATCTTCCTACCTCAACGGCTGTTCGTCTTCATCCCCCCATTCGTCCTCAGACGCCTCTCTTTTCACGTAGGGGATGTGCCTGGAGGGTATACTAGCCGGTGGTTTCCCAGCCCGTGGCTTGCCGCCCTTGTTCCCTTTCTTTTGTAGAAGGATGTCTTCGCCCTTTGAGCCCAATTCTTCAACTTGTCAGGGTTGTTGGCACAAAACAACACCACCTCTCTCGTCGCCAAACAATCCTCCAAATCGTCATGGACTACGCCGTCAGCCGCCCAAATCGGAGAACGAATCTGGATACCTAGGAGTTCCTTGGACAACGCCTCCAGACCCCATCTCTTCTTGATCTTGGACTCTGCTCCGAGCACGGCGTCTGCAGTGACGATGGCGGAATCAATGACCCTCGCATGGGAGGTGTGTAGCACACGTAGGTCATTGCGGACTGACTGCCCGATGAGGATTGTCTCCTTATCAGAGTAGCGCCAAAGTTCAGCGCGAGCGGCTTCCCAGCCGTCCAGAGCTTCATTCCGTGAGAGAGCTGCAGACATTTTGGTCGCATTGAGACCGGTGACATTTTCACGCCAGTCTAGGATGGGTCTTGTTGGATTCACGAGCCGGCGGCTCAGCAACACATTGCCCGTCAGGAAGTCGAGAATAGTGACCTGGATCAGTTCGTCTTCGTCTCTCTCAGCACCGCCCATCTCGCAGTCTATCACGAGAGCCGCATGTTTTGGACTGGATGGGTCTCTATCGGGGCAGGGTGGGTCAGCTCTCGACACCGAGCTAGATGAGCTTTGTCTCGTATCGGCAATTGTAGTTGGTAGAGTGTATCCTTCCTTCCGCAGTCTTTCCTCTGGGTGACATAAATCGGTCATTCGGCTCCAAACAGCATTTTGTTCGACTGCGGGCGAGTAGATGTTGCCCCGGTATGTGGTGTGCATAGGTATGCTAGGTTCGGTAACTCTGACTGGCTGGGTCACAATCAGATCGGGGGATACGGGCCTTGTGGCTCTGAATGGCAGCTGGGCTACCACCGGGCGTGGACGGTCAGGTTCGGTGGCTCTGGCTAGCTGGTTCACGGTTCGATCGTAGGGTATAGATGTGGTGGCTCTGACTGGTTGAGTCAAAACCGGATGAGGATGTATAGGCTCGGCGGCTCTGATCGGTACTGTAGAAGCTCCATCCCTGTGTTTTGCGCGCCTATGTTGTTTCTGGCCCAATTTGGTACTAAACCTTTGCTGACAGATAGCGCATTGGTGCTTATTCTCTGGTTTAGAATGTGGCATGTTGGTGAATGGTTTCGTTGAGATCTGCGAGCAAGGGGAGGTAAGGCGGTGCAGGCCGCGGGTAGAACAAATGGAAGTTCTTCGTGTCATTTATAACTTGGACTTCAGGCATGGGCGTGCCCTCTACATCGAATCGAAATCAGCTTGCGCGAAAGGTTGGCTGCCAGCCACACGGTCTCTGTTGGTGCAAGAGCGGCTCTATCGATGGCGTGATTGGGCTGTGATCATTTTGATCGAAACACACCAGCAGGAGGCCAACAACTCATGTCTCAGTGGCCAGAATATGATTCAGGTGACTTGATCGTTTCCAGTAGTACTACCTTGAGTCGAACGATGTATCTTCGTGCTCTAGATGAGATGATTTCCAGGCAGGAGCATTGTCCGTCCAGAAATTCATTGCTCTCCTTCCAAAGATGGCAACATCGACAAAAGCGCCAAAATTTCCCCCATTCAATCAGTAGGCCATGGAGGAAGCAAAATACCAAGACTGCCAAGTTGTGTTGGGAGCATACGTGCAGGGCAAGTGCAAGTGCCCGTATATGGCATGTCGAATGAACCAAGGAGGGAATGCCACGAACCACTGCCCCGGACTGGAACAACGGGGCATAAGCTGATGATACCTGCTACTTCTGGTAATTTTCCATTTTCGGCATCTTGCACTGTCATGTAACATCTGTCGCATCACGCGTAGAGCTTCCTTACTTTCTCTGAGCGGCATGGAGGGCAGCTTTGCTGTCGAACGTAGGTTGGGATGTGTAGAAATCCGGAAGAGGAACTACTGATCTGTCGAAAATCGTTAAATTACTGGTCTAGGCCTGGATTTTCAATGACCCAGTACTTCAGAAAATATGTCATGCAGAATACCTCCAGTCCGATGACTGCAAAAGAATTACGTGAATGGTTTGTTGCGGAAGATAATCTCATACAATGAAACTACATGTGCGCCTTGATGCTGTTGTCTATCTCTCCACCATCTCTCCACCATCTCTCCATTGCTGAATTGCCGATAGAGAGAAAACCCACGAGATGATAGGAGAATCTATGGAATTCAGGAGACGCTTGTTGGGCCATAGCCGTGTTGATGGCAGGCTTAGAGGCACTTGCAAGCATCAAGCTTCTCTCGATGATTTGCCTGATATCAGGCCTGTCTTCTGTTCCAGTTCATTAAATGAGGCTGGAACCTATGGTACTTCAGTGGAAAATAATCTTTCTAAACGGCTTGAGAATGCGATTGCTAAGCAATACGATGATTTCAATCAAGTCTTGGCCCTCTATATCTCTTGTTGGCATACCCAAACCAATTCGCGACCGAAAAGAGCCCCATTACACCAAGTACCACGCAAGCATAATCTGATATTGTATTAGCAATTGGTGATTGTAAACCCGGGGTGTGAGAAGTTATTTACTCATGTTCAAAGCTGAAACAGGCATTACAACAGGAAAGTCGTAGAACACTAACGCCAGCAGTCCCAACACAATTGTCAAGATGTTGGCAACAGCACCAACGACAAGGGGTATTTTGAAACTTCGCCGCGGAAGTACACGACGGAAAGCAGCCGCTCCTTTGAATCGATGATATAGTGCCAAAGCAGCAGGAAAGCTGAAGCTGACTTGCTGTAGGATCAGGCCGGTGGCGACGAGGGCGTTGAAAGCTGTCGAAGATGCTAGAAAGACACAGCCGAGAGCGAATATGAGGGCCCAGTTGGCGAGAAGCGCGTTGACGGGTACGCCGAGATGAGGATGAATCCTGCGAAGGAATGGGGAGAAAACAATGGCATCGTCGCGAGCAAATGCCCAAGTCAGTCGACTGGCGGTTTGAAGGGCCCCCGTGCAAGCGAAGCATCCGCACGAAGATAGCACAAGCACGAAAGTCGTTGCTGCTGCGCTAGATCCGGTGGCCTGGGACCAAATTTCGAGAATAGGTAACCTAAGTTGATCCCATGTCAGTGCTTTTCATCAATCATCCATGCAATTGAAAAACCCCGTTCTGTCCTGCTAAAGGTTATTGCCAAGGCTAATCAAGGGACCGAAATAGGAGAATAAGGGGCGTACGGAGATGAGAGCACAGGCTCAAAATCAGTGAAGCTGTACAGCATAGCAACACTGAACGTGAAGGCCGAAGTAAAACCAATGATTATTGTGGAAAGAAGGGCTTTTGGTATGGCTGATGAAGAGTTCGTGCACTCCTCTGCCAGGTGTATCGCGCCATCAAGGCCGGAGTAAATAAAATTAGGGTTAAGCAGGCCAGTCAGAAAGACTATGCCCCTCGAGGGCCAACCACTCTCATTGATGAACGTGGTCCATACGAAGGAATCTTCTTGCTTCCGCCCTGAGCGCGCTAAACATGTCACTGTGATAACCAAGAAGCCGGCTAAGGATAGGAAGACTAGCAATGTGGTAATTAATCAGCTGCTTGCTCCAAGGTATCTCAAGATGATTCGTAGGGTGCTTACAGCCAACGTCGTGGATCCAAGCTGTCCTTTTCATCAGGAAGATATTGTATGCCGTGAATACAATGTTGAATGCCTGAAAAACGAGGAAGATGTGCCAGGCTTCTGGGATGTACGTAGAATCAAGGTACGATGCGAGCGAAAGAATAATAACCGGCATTTGAATGATGAAGCCCGCTCCATTAGCGATCCAGCCTAGGAAATTAATACAACCGCAACAATAGCTCTAAAACTCGCATACGTCAGCAAATAACAGAGGACTTGCCGGCGGAGAGTCTCACCAGTCCACGACTGTACCGCTTGGGTGCTAAGATGCTGGTCCAGTGATATTGTCCTCCGGCAGTAGGATAGACGGATGCGATCTCGGCCATGCTCAACGCACACGCGCCTCCCAATACGAAAATGAGGACGATGCCGTAAAGCAGAGTGACAGGCCCTCCGGAGCTGATTGAGATCACCAGTGTGGCTGCGATTGCGGACCAGCTGTTGCAGATATTCCATCCCAATCCCACAATAGCCAATAGGCCAATGTCTCGTTTTGCTTGCGACTGAAGCCCCAGGCGAGATAAATCGGCGTCTTCGTTAGAGGTGATAGGAGACGAGGTAGCTGCAGCAGTGAAGTTTTCCTCTTAGGTTAGTCAATTGCCTATTCCCAAGATGATTCGAAATATGGAGCGAACCTTCTTCCAATACGCCGTGCTCAGCTGACTTTTCCATCAAATCTCCTTTACGTCTAGGAGAGGATGTGAGCACAACCATGATTGCTCTTTCGTAGGGTTTTCTATGAATCGAATCTCAATGCGAATGAGTAACAGTCTATGATCCACGAGCTTTAACGATCACACCACGCGTATTTTAGATGAACCCTGGAGCCCAGATGACGTTCACTTATGGCGGGAACCTGTGTGAAGATCCTCGCTACGGTACGAGCCGAGACCGAGACAAAGTGGCAAGTGGTATTCGACCCGTTACACTGCAGGTTCAAATGCAGTCATCTTTGTGCTTCGCTTGCACGCCCGAAGCTTTTCGCGTTCTCATTCGCTATCTCCGACGCGTAGACCGCGGTTCAGATCCTCCGCACCCAGAGTGCAATGCACAAGCAGGGGGCACAAACATTGACACCAGGCATGCAGGAATTCATTGGCCTTCTTAGTATCCCTCATGTCATTTCTCGAGGAGGAAAAGAAAGTCAAGAAGGTGACTAGTGACTACACGTCTAACTGAGACAAGGTTTGCACACGTTAATGTTGTTGTGTGCATGTTTCTCATGCTCGCCATTTTCTCAACTTCATTGAGTCTGACAGCTTTTCTGGCCTAGCGTGATTTTGATGCCTCGCGGCATCTCGGCCTTGAATCTTTCCAGTGCCAAGTGCACGTCAACTTCTAGTACTTTGTGTACGGCAACGAATCCAGACTTCACCTCCATGGACAACTCTCCTAGAACTGATGAATGCGTCTCCATCGCGGATTGATGGCACCGCCTAGATCCTTCACATCCAATTCGAGACAATCGTCGCAACTAGCAAGCCCACAAATAGACTCGCGAATGATGATTCGACTTGAGCCCATGAGCTCGGTCTATTCCCAAAGCTTTCGGGCAACCGACTTCCAGCGGTGATGTTATTAGCTCGAACGCAGCGGAAGACCGTGTAGTTTGAGGTCCCACTCTCCTCGGTATAACTGTAAGAGAGCATCACGGGCCAGACCTGTGTCACCGCATAGTCGTAGACCTCTCTGGTATCACTGTCGTTTCCGACAACGTTATAAGGTGCAATTGACTGAAATAAAGTATACGAAAAGTCCGACCCATTTGACATGAGCTCCGTGGTTAGATTTTCTAATTTTGCATGTCAGTCACCCTTAGAACATGACCAATCAAGGAGCCACCCACTTCTTTCTGCCGTTGTGTAAGCCATTGAATCACTGCAACTCGTCGGGATGTTGAATCCGATCCCGTAGAGCGGCGACTCCAAAGAACTGTCGCACTGGACCTTTGCTGCTGTTTCTCTGATATCGTGAATGCAGTTTTGTGGGATGACGCCACCACATGAGCCTTCGCTATCGTCATGGAGTATCTTGATTTCGTTTTCGGTCCAGCCCATCTGCCACCAGACATATGAGCAGACACGGTATCCGTCAGATACGTTTCCACTTGCGAGTGGGGTATCTGAGGCGTCAAGACTGATTCGTGACGGGTTTGAATTGCTCATAGTACCCTGACTAACATTCGTGGCAACTGCGACGTTGATGCTCCATCCATTTCCTTGGCCGAACTCGTTGTTTCTCGGGGGTTCTGAGGGTGGCTTTGATAGATCGATCCCGAAAATTGGCCAGCTTCCGGTAGCATTCGGATTCGAAAGGCTATCAAGCGAGCCAGACAAGCTAGTTTGACCAATGGAATTGGTATGCGGCGTGACTGGAGAGACAGGCGGCTCATGTGCACAGCTGACGTCGATGAAGCTAAGCAACCAGAGGATGTCGAGACAGTGAACGATATATGCCATGTTATGAACCGAGTTGGGAGCTTGCGACTCCCTGGCGTCAACTCAATCGAAGCTGTGAGACTCAGTATTGAGATGCGTTTGGCTCTCAGAACTAATTGTTATCCATTCGACTGGTCAAATATTCGAACGCAACGGGTAGCACCCTTTTGCCGATACCTGTCCTTTTACTGTGTCTTTCTAAGTCAAATGACATGGGCCAAGGTTCCGTACTTCGCACTTGAGAGACAATAGTGCGTGGTAACATTGAACCTATCGCCCCCCTTGAGAGCAACAAAAAGTGACGGAGCTCTAATCATGCCACCGAACTTTCGATTGGTTGCAACGAAGTACCTAGTGATCTAAGGACTTTAGCATCCCGTTGGGCACACTATCGTCCATTGCTAAGAAGCTAAATCTAGTGACGTTACTACATGGAGCTAGAGCAAAGTCTACGCCTACGTCACTCAAACGAGTTTGAACTTGGTACGGCAGGTAGATCCGAGGTCCATCAATTGAGGGAATGAGGTGACCCCTCGAAGAAATGTGTCTCTCTGCCATAGACAAGACACAGAAAGGCGAACGCAACACCTACCCTACGTGAATAGTTTCAAACCCCACAGGTCTTACACATACTCGACCCTCTCATTTCACTCATTCTTCTCCATCCAGTCCATCAATTGCGCCCAGTCAATACACTGATGTTCCGTGTCGAAACCCGTCACACCGTCGACTACGACGTTGGCAACCTCGATCGTCAGATCCTGTCCGAACTATATCAGCATGCAGACTTGAAATGCTATAAGGAGTCTTCCATAACAGAAGTGAGTGTACGCACAGGTCTGCACATGATAACTTGTCGCAAGAGATCAAAGCAATGTCCGAGATGATCCATGTCGTGCGATGCATTGAGCTCCTCCGCCTCGCTTGGATATATTTTCTCCTCGCTCGAATATGTTGTGTTCTTCTCGTGTCTCCGGTGTTCCGTAGTACCGAGACGCGCCTCGAAAAGTGCCTTGCGGAGCATGTCTAGGCAGTGGATCTGATGGAAGACCGCCACGCAGCTCTCCGTTGGCGCAATCCTTGGGTGTGTGAAGAAGCCGCCGTTTTGGGGGAGAAGGGAAGACCACGCAGCGTCAACTTCTGGGGAAGGCGGCATCGCGTAGGCGTAGTCTTGCTGGAAGACGTATGTAGAGGTTTTCACTATTGTTCGCCGTCAGCTTGCGGAATCCTTCGAGACGGTAGTAACTCGTAGCTACGTACGACGAATCTCTGATCTTAGGGGCTCTGCTCCAAAGTACGCGGGCCGTGTTTGGAAGATTGGAGGCGCATGATTGCCAATGACCGCAACAATGACCAACAAGAGGATGTACGCAAGGTGCAATTTTCCGCGAGACCAATGCTGCTTAAACCAGGATTGTTGCTCTGAAGTACTGGCTTCGTCCTGGGCAAGTTTGGTGTAAGGCGAAAAGGGGGCCATCATATCATAACGTCACATTCTAGACACCCCGTTGAACGAGTAGTCAAATTTCGAATTCGATGAGCAACGTAGCATCTCCGAGAAGCAGGATAGAGGATTGAAGATTCGGAGCAGTGTGTCCAGCTCTTCTCCATAACCCGGTATGTGAAGTTGGGAACTTGAACTTGTTTAGTAGTTGCATGATCTCAACTGTGTCAACATTCGCCTTGCCCTACTACATGCGACTCGCTGAGATTGCATTGCCCGAGTCCGCTCCCGTCTCGGTGAATTTAAATTTTTACTCATCGATAAACTCAATAACTGCGATTAGTTCAGACGGTTACGAATCAAAGCGGGGGAATAATTGGATTTCCTTTTGAAGCACGATGGCTTGCGCGCTCCTTGAGTTTGCTCGAACCCAGTCAAGGAAACCCATTTCTGACCCGAAACATCGTTTATCAGATGCGTTTTGGGATCCGCAGCATGAACGTATACAAACCTGCCGACATACTGGAGTCAGGCATAAACTTACCTCAGAAACCAAAAAGAAAGAAAGAAAAGAATTGAGAACGTTTGATTTCCAGGAAATGACTGGATCGACGAAAGGCCAAAGAGCTATGCACAGTTGGGAAATTATGTGCAGGCCGTGAATCACACTGTATCGAGTTAAAAGTAGTTCCTGCCTGATTTGGAGTAACATGGTCGTTCGGAAGACGCAACCGAAATGTTTCGCGTAATTCGTTGACAACTTACCAAGTTCCCAAGGCTCAACTGGGTAAAGTCATTGTATCACTAAAAACGAAATCTTGTGGAAGACTTGGGACTCTTAGTCCACGAATGGGAACCGCCCTTTCATCGGCTATATGGCAGTCTTTGAAGAATTGGATAAATCCAGTTGATGTATCGGTAAACTGGCAGCCAAATTTTGAATAGTTCTGATTACATGTACAGTTCTGATTACAGGATCATAGTGAGTGAGAATGATAGAAGCATCCCAATAGCTGCAGAGCAGGTTGACCAAGAAGCCCGAACTGCAGAGCTTCTTCTATTACTTCCAAAGGATCCTGGTTCGCGACTTCCCTGTACAATGTTATTGGCTCGAACACATCGAAAGACGCTATAATTCGACCGAGTCTCTCCAACTTCATATGTGTATGTAAGAAGCAGGGGATAGACATTCGTAAGAGCCGTGTCGTACGCATCACGTAGATCAGCTTCCGATCTGTTCGAATAAGGTCCCCATATGCCGAAGAGTTGAGAAGATGAACCCTCGTTGGTGGAAGTTCCGGTGGGCAGATTGAAAGTCACGTTTCCTAGGTGGGGAAGGTAATTAGTCTATAGTGTGAGGTCTGCCACGGGAAAGTATAAGAAAGATCATTCACTTACTCCGAAAAGACGAGGGGAACGCAAGTGCTTGTGGGCAGCTTTTAGGCAGGTCGAAGCCCCTGAAGCTATAGCACGGCTTACCCCCCAGGACCTCTTTTGTCTCTTGGATACACTCATCGGAAATGATACCGTTGCAGGACCCGTTGACATCATCTTGGAGCATCTCCAATTCTTCCACGGTCCAGACATTTTCAAACCAGGCGAAAGAGCAGATATCGTAATTCTCAGTGTAGTTCGTCGACGAATTTACGTTTTGAAAAGCATTTGCTGGCGCCTCGAGAGTGATGGCTGCAGGATTCGATGCCGAAGTGCTGATTTTATCCGCAGTAATGTTGGTGGCAATGGCAATGTTGATGCTCCAACCATTTCCGGGGCCGTAGTCGTCGCTTGGCGGGTCCAGAAGTGGTTTCGTCACATCAATGCCGTTGATGGGCCACGTTCCTGTGGCATTTGGATGTGCTACTACATCACGGATAGTGATGCTAGTCGAATTAGTTTGGCGCTTTTGAATGTTATGGAATCGGAAGCTTTTAGCTTTTGCCACAAACGTCAAAATTGTCGCAAGGATGCCGATGAGAAGCTTCATGTTGAGTGTGAAGCTCGCTTGTTTTCTTTGTTAAGATTCAAGTGATAATGTACTAGGGTGTTGTTTTGTCTTTTAGTTTGTGTGCAGGTATTAAGGTACTCCGTAAAAATCGCACTGAAGCCCCCTAGCGGCCAAGTTCAATTTGATGTCCAATCCAAGGTGCAGACAGGTCACTCACTCTTTATAACTTATCTCACGGGTTTCTGCCCTGCCTTGGGGATCATTGATTTTGGGACTTCGGTCTTCAGCTATGACGTACATTGGCAGCTGTGGCATTTCTGTTGGCCAAATCCAACTTCGGAGCAGTGAAGAAGGATTCATGCTTGGCGACGTAGTCTCTTGGCAGTCAGCATGGCTTAGACAGATTACACGGGATACCAAAGTACTTCCTGCAATGGCAGAGATCGTCTCTATATGGCTCCGAGACTACGGCCATCCGGTGATGCTGGACATCAGTGTCGTCGGTACTTGCACGGGTTACGAGAAGACCAAATAACAGCATGTCCCCAAGTCCCAAACCCGATAGTCCCTCGGCCCTTCCCAATACTCATCATCAGTAATGTAGAAGTCAATGCTTTCCAAGATAGCTTCTGTTAAGCTTTGATCATACCAGCCAGTGCCGCTGTAATGAGGATCTTAGATGCAACCAACTCCAAAGTTCGATGCTGTGAATATGTGAATGGCGTACCAAGTGGCTGTCTCGAGCCATTGAATGGTGTTGTGACTAAAGCCTGGCCCGAATGGTGCGCCAATGGGGAAGCCAGGAATTAGGCCGTCACTTTCAAGCACCTCATCAGCATTTCCCAGTAGGTAACAAGGGTAAGAGGAAGTCCTCACGAGCTCTAGAACTGACGGACACTCATCTGATCACATTTCATCAAGAGGTCCCAAAGCTCATCCTCAGCTTCAACGGGCATTGGTGTTCCGTCATTGATGTAGTTATCAAGCTGCTGCTTGATATATGCAATGAAATCGCCGATTGCATTCTCGAAAAGAGTACATAGGCTATTCGTCAAGAGACTAATGAATTGGAGGAGTGAGTTATGCCAACTTTTCCACGGCCTCGAAGGTGCTTAACTTACTGCTCTGAGATGCTTGTCTTCGGCAATACCCTTGTTCAGTCCGAAAGGATCCTTCTCGGTGAAACCCTTCCGATATGGATTCCCAACTTCACGAACGTTGTTGAAAAATGTAGGGCAAAATCCTTTGTCATCGTTCAAGTAATACCTGATCAATTTTGGGGCATTGTTGACGTGCGTGCGGTCGCCCAATTTGCCCTTCTTTGTGCCGAGCATTTCGAATAGGCGGAAGGTTCCAAAAGTCGTCTGTCAGTCAAGGCTTCATTCGTTATGTCCATTGCTCTCGGCATTTGAATAATTGGTTTGTGGCATACTTGTCCATGACTGCATTCTTGGGGTATCGCATCGCCCCAATATCATAGTAATCATGGACGCCATCCTCACTGAAGCGGTGAGTGTAAAGTCTGCCGCCAAACCGTTTCTCATTCGAAGAGTCTAGAATTTCGTAGGAGATGTTAAGGTGCTTAGATCCCTTCTCCTTGGCGATGGTTTCGTTGATCCAGTCAATGGCTAAAGCTGTGAAAAGTCCACCTACGCCGGAGCCGACGATCCCAATCTTGAAATGTCCTGGCGTCTTGGGGGTAAGACCACCACCATTGATTCGCTTCATGGCATCGGAATGGCCGGAGACAGTTTCAGAATCTGGCTTCAGCTCCTGGCCGCCGATCATGTTGGCGAACCTGCGTTTTGATCCTTGAAGGTCGCTTTCGAGCTTCCGCTTGGCCACGTATCGGCCCATAGATATGTGTAGCAGGCTTTTGGGGCCAAAGCTGGGGATTCAGATAGTGCCATTTTAGATAGTTCTGCGTGGAAAGATTACTGGTAAAGGGGGAGAGTAAACAGGGTTAGATGGTTGGCACTGGGAACGTAGTAACTCTTATTCAACATGTCAGCCCTGTGCATTTATACTACACCATCACTCTACTTGTAGGCAGCTGAACTCCAACATGTTCGCCAGCATGATCTTGGAAGGTCCCCTCTCGTGACTTACAACTACTGTGTGATGGCTCTTCTTCACTTGTCAGGTTTCTCTTTCTCTTTTCTTAACTTGCCAATTTGGTCTTACTCTCAGCCGCTATTAGTGCAATATCATGCTTCCGGGGTGGATACGTCAGGCTCTTACTCAGAGTCTATCACACAATCTCTTAGACATGAGGGACAGTCAGTGATAGACTTGCGCTCAAATTAAGACCTTTATGTCTCGTACACAGAGGCTGGCTGAACTTTGGATAGCTCACGTTGGGAGTCAACAGGCACGCGGGCACTCTAACTCGAAAGGGGTTGAACGGTGCTGCTAGCTTTCAGCTGCGCTTGAAGATTCTACATCTATCGGCTATGCTGACTCTTCCCCCGCAAAATCGAGGAGACCACAGGGAATTTTCTCATCAACATACACTTTCAGGCCCGGGCCGCTGGCATGATGATGTCTTAGTTCCCGCCAGCCAGCCGTCCAGTCTGGACCGTTCCTCTGCCCTCCTCCCAAGCCGCAAGGCCGTTGATGGGACAACAGCCGAGAGCATCCGCCTGATGTATACGGTGCTTTCACGTAAACTTGATGTGCGCTACCTCGATGCCTCCACAGCGGACTCGTACTTGGAAAGATCACTCATCATCAAATCAAAAGAGACGTGAGGCATGAAAGTTTGACTCAATTTGAAGAGTCACCGAGACTCCAAGAAACACCTAACGCTACTCCTGACATTGAATCATGCAGAGGATATCTCAATGTTGCTACTAAATTGCCACCGGAAACACAGCCCAATGCAATCCTAAACACCTTCCTTGTGCCCATCCGAACGATTTGAATGTACCTCTGAAGCCCTTTGATCAATAGCGTCTGAGCTGACCACGAGCGGTGACATTACCGCTAGCCGAGCCGCCAATGAGCATGCTGTTGAACACGTTCGCAGCAGTCTCATCCTGCGTGGCAGCGACAGCAGCGGTCTGAGCCTGGTTGCAGCTCTCAACGGTAGCAGCAGGCGCCTTGCAGCTGTCCGACAGGCGCTGACAGATGAAGCCAGCAATGATGCCAATCTTCTGCGCAGAGCCGTGGTTGAAGTCGCCCTGGTTGTTGGCGATGAAGGCAGCGGCCTGGCGGTCGGGCAGGCCGTCCTTGAAGACGACGGAGGGGTCGCTGCAGGAGCCAAAGTCGGTGGCCTGGCGCTTGAAGAAGCGCTTGCGGAGGCTGGCCTGGGCGCGGCATTGGGTGTTCTGCTCGTCGCACTGGGAGACTTCGCCGTCGAGCTGACCGCTGTTGACGGCGCGGGCGCAGGCGTTGTGCTGGACGTCGCAGGATCGGCCAAGGGCGGCGCCCTTGCCGACGAAGGTGTCGCCATTGACGGAGAAGGGGCGGTCGCCAGAGCTCTGGATGACCGGGGGAGGGGCGCCACCGAGAGCGCCGGTAAAAGTCTGGACATTGTTGCCGTTACCGGTGTTGGCGTTGCCGCTGTTGGCATTTCCGTTGTTGTTGGAGTTGTTTCCGTTGTTTCCACCAGCGGTGCCGTTGTTGGCCTGGGTTTGGGCGGCGCCATTGTTGGAGCTGGTTGCATCACAAGAAGCGTCGTTGGTGTTGGTGTTTCCGCTGGCAGGCGTGGCATTGTTTCCAGCGTTGGCAGGAGTGCTGGAAGCCTGCGCACCCGCGGCACTTCCGGCCTGGCCAGCGACGGCAAGACCGGTGATGTCGATGTGAGTTGCCTTCAGTTCGCCAGTGCCGCCAGTGACGGTCTGAGTGACACCTTGAGCAGCGGCAGTGATCTCTTCGGGAGTAGCATCAAGAACGAGCTTCTTCTCGGTGAAGATGCAGCCTGTAGGGTCGGTGTCGGTGTCACAGCTGAGACCCTTGAAGGTCGTGTCGGACTTGTCACCAGGAGCGAAGGTGCCGCTCTCAAGAGCCAACATGGGGTCACCGCCGACTGCGGCCAACTGCTTGGCAAGTGCAAGAGCAACCTCCTTGTTGTTGGCCGCTGCGCCGTCGGCAGCAGGGTCTTGATGTTTCTTGGACAGAGCGGCGATCTCAGCGTTGACAGGCTTGTCGGTGCAAGCTTCGCTGTTCACACCGACACCCGCAGTATTGCGCTCAAGAGTCTGATAGACGAGAGCAGCAGACATGCCGCGGATATCCTTGGCGGCTTTAGCGTTGGTGAAAGCCTGGTCGGCGGTCTCCTGTTGCAAGCAGGCCAAGTTGGTAACCTGTCCGGCGCCAGCCTTTGCGGCTCCGTCTCCAAGGAGGCCGAAGACGGGGTCGGCGATGGCCTTGGGGTTCTCCTTGTTCAGGAACTCCCTGGTAATGTTGAGGAAGACTTCGTGAGAGTGCTCCTGGGGAACCTCACGCTTGATAACGCGCCTCACATGGTGGTGACGGTGGTAAGGACCGGCCGCCACAAGACCGACGAGGGTCGAAGCGGCGAAAGCGATAGTCTGGTACTTCATCTTGATCGAGGTTTGGATTATCGACGGTCGAGAGTGATTAAGACAGAAAAGACCGGCCTTCTGCGTGCTGTCGACTGACGTGATATGAAGCGAAGAGTTGTTTGTAAGATAGTATGGTAAAATGAGGTCAGATCTGCAGGCAGTGCAAAGAATGGAAGAGTTCACAGAACTCGAAGTTGAAAAGAATGAAACGAAACGTTGCAAAGAGAATGTCGTATGAAGATGAGAAGCTATAGCCAAGAAAAAGATTTTTGGTGCCGAGAGGGAGATCACCCAGGTTTATAAAGAAGAGATTGGACGGAAAACATGATCAGAGCAGATCCCTGGTGCATCAGTGGAATTCAGACGGTCCAGAGCAAGAGCCTCATGCTCGGCCAGCACTCGCCAGCGCACCGTTGCGATGAGACTCCAAAAGTTCAGACAGACATCGCCTCCCCTGGGGGTATGGAGGCCGAGGGGGACGAGAGTCGAGACAACATGAGACGAGCCGAATCGGCTAAGACGGCCACTTCGAAGATTGCCAGGTACAGGAATCTGTCGGACCCGAAATCATGGTATGGCATGTGCCGGGGCTGCAGAGAACGGACGCGACGGGTGACCATGTCATCGCCAAGTCAACCACTCATGAGGCAACTCAGGTGGGGACGTACGGTCTTCATGATCTGAACTGGGCGCGTCCAGGTAGCAAACGATGGCGATGTGGCTGGATTTGCGTTTGTTATTGCGACATGGGTCGCGATATCGGCAGAGTTTCTGGACAGTGTTGCGATGGGTGGTGGGTGCATTCGGTAAGGCGCCGTTGACTTCAGACGCCTCGACAACAATGTAGACGGAAAGATGAGGCGGAAGATCAGACAGATTCAGCCGCAGGTTGTCATAGAGCGAGTTTCGCCTGGGGTAAGGGTGGGCACCTTTTGCGATGGTGGCATGGGTATGAGGGGGAAGAAGAAGGGGGAGGGTCTTCACCCGTGCGTCTCAAGAGGACAACGGCCGCTTATCAAGGCCGAGTTCCCCACGAGCAAATGCTTAACTCATTTCAAAGCCAATGGTAACCCTCGGTGGCCTCCGGATGGCAAGGTCGCCGGGCGGGTATTTGGTCGGTAAGGGGTCACCTTCGCATTCTCTTAGGGCTTAGCGCAGGGCCTACCTGCGCTACAGATGTCTGGAAAGCTTGATTACTGCGCATTTTTTGCAGGCGAAATGTACTCCTGGAGTTCAGATGTGCCTCTTCTCCCTGAAGATGCGCTGGGGGCAAGGTCACCCTATTCGGCATCTCGCTCCGAGCAGCAGATGGGGCTCAACCGATCTTGTTGTTGTTGTTGTTGTTGTTGTTGTTGTTGTATTTAACGCCGTGGCGGCCGGGCTAGAGCCCTTACCGCAGACCTCCCGAAGGGTATATGGCGTGGAGGGCCGTGAGCCAAGGCTACCTACTCTACAGTACGTCGTCTCTTTACATCGTCCTCCAAATCATGCCTTGTGGCCACTACGCGTTCTGTCTGTCCCCGGTTCCCGCTGGTGCCCCAGTTTCATTCTTTCCCAAATCGTCCCTTGGAATCGGGAGGTTCTTTGTAGTCCGCACTCACATCTACGTAGGTGTGGATGCTGCTACCGCAGACAGATCTTCTGGAAGAAGTCCGTCACGCGGAGAAAGGCCTCGAAGCCTCGTGGGTCGGTGATTAATCTCTTGAAGTAGGCCTCGAGAGATCCCATAGGGCCTATGGGCTCGGGCATACTGCGAGAGTGGAGGGTCGGCCACCGTTGCCTCCTCGCCAGCGTTAGTCGACAGTAGACCAGGTGGTCCACGTCTTTCGCCTCTCCACAAGAGCACATCATTAGAGCGTCGTCGTGGTTGAAACGTCGGTGATATTGCTCGAAGTCCCCGTGACCCGATCGTGCCGCCAGCAGGTGATGTAACGTAGCCCGCGGCAAGGCCAGTTCAGGAGGGCTGGACAGAGCTGCCTCAAGCCCCAAGTCCGCGTACCGCGGCCTTCGCTCTTTATACCACCATCTCCTGTGCTGGCTTTGTAATTTTTCCCTTGCAAGCCGCTTGATGCCCGCTAGTGTTGCCATTTGACCCATCCGCGCCGGCAGTGTCGTTCCTTCTTTGGCCAGCCGGTCCGCGGCCTCGTTTCCTTCGATGCCCTGGTGTCCCGGGGACCAGTGCGTCCGTATATCAAATATCCTGGCCGCTTCTTGGATTTCGAGGAACGCGTCTTGTGACGAGTCCGGCGCCTTGCCGCGGATGCCTTGTATAACGCTGGTGTTGTCGATACATATGTGGATTGGATGACCGCGATTGGTGAGCAGAGCCCTTCTGAGGCCGGTTCGCGCCCCTTCGACCTCGGCGTCGAACACTTCTGCTAGTCCGAGTCGGCCGCACCCTTGTGCTATGCGTTTGGAGTCTCGGTAGATGACGAAGCCGTACCCCACGGCTCCGTTCGTCGCCCTGGAGCCGTCCGAGAAGACGATCATATGGCTTTCCGGTACTGTCTTTAGCCAGCGCTCGAAAGCTTTCGCAGCCTCTTCTTTGCATTGAACTACTATCTGATCCTGTGAGCTTGGCAGGTACTGTGATTGAAGGAACGCTGGTCTTCCGCATCTTGGCAGAAGTTCAGCCGTCCGTTGTAGTCTCGTCTGTTGCTGTCCCTGCTGGGAGAGCCGCGCGACTAGCGGGTGTCGGCGATCAATCCTCTGTAGTCGGACTGCGGCCCGTAAGCGGACGCCCTCTAAGGCGACTTTGGCTGACGGTAAGCCGGTC